GGTCAGGTGGTGACCTGCACCCTCCAGGAGGGACTGATCTGCAGGAACGAGGACCAGCAGGGCCGCTTCCACATGTGCTTCAACTACAATGTGCGTGTCCTCTGCTGTGACGACTACCAGCATTGCAGGAGCACTTTGGGGCCCACGGCCACATCCAGGAGCACCTCCACCACAGTGGGGCCCAGGACCAGCCCCATGCCCACCACTGCCATGCCCATGGGCTCCACCTCACCCCACAGCAGCACCCGAGCTTCTACACCCACCTTGGGGAGCACCATCTCCTCCCAAACTTCAACACATGGCCCCGTGTCCATGACGGTTACATCACCCACCAAGTGTGAACCCCAATGCACCTGGACAGACTGGATGGACGAGAGCTACCCCTTGCCCTTGGACTCAGGGGGGGACTTTGAGACCTATACCAATCTCCGTGATGCTGGCATGGTCTTCTGTGACAGCCCTGTGGACATCCAGTGCCGCTCAGAGCTGAAGCCAGACTTGCCCCTGGAGGCCCTGGACCAGGTGGTGCAGTGCAGTGCTGCCTTCGGGCTGATCTGCAAGAACGAGGAGCAGAGAGGGACCCCCAAGTACTGCCACAACTTCCACATCCGCGTGCTGTGCTGTGACTACAATATGTGTTCCACCACCCCGTCCACCACTGTTGTGTCCTATCCAGGGTCCAGCACGTCCACGCTGGCTGCCTTTTCCTCTCCTGGCACCATGGTCCCCAGCTCCGCCTCCCCTAGCCCCTCCGCCACTTACACACCTTACCCCAGCGGGTGCCAGCCTGCCTGCTACTGGACAGGCTGGCTGGACATCAGTAAGCCCGAGCCAGGCCGATTTGGGGGTGACAAAGAAATCTACTACGAGATCAGGAATGCAGGGCACGGTCTGTGCAAGGTCCCGACAGCCATCCAGTGTGAAGCCGTGCTGTACCCAGGAGTAGCCCTGGAGACACTCGGCCAGAAGGTGTATTGCAGTGTGAAATTTGGCCTCATCTGTCGGAACAAGCAACAGAAGAAAGGCCAAATGTGTCTCAATTACCATGTGCGCATGCAATGCTGTGATGACACGAGCCACTGTAGCACCCCAGCTGGTCCCACATCTACGCACACATCAACTCTCAGCTCTGTGGGCCTCTTGTCCACAAGACCTGTCACATGGCCAGGAACCACCTCCAGAGAGATGCCGGTGTCCCCTCCTTGGACAGAGACACCTGCTTTCAAATCGTTATCCACCACGTCTCAGTTCTTTTCCACGAGAAAAGCCACTCTGCAGTCGACGCCAGTCCTAAAGTCCACCGGAGCCCTGACCATGCAAAGTCAATCATCTCCAGCCACGATGAGCACGGCACAGTCAGTACCCAGCAGGGAGACCCAGGGCACCACCAGCTGCCAGCCCAGGTGCCAGTGGACTGAGTGGTTTGATGTGGACTCCCCAACCTCGGGCGTCTCAGGCGGTGACATGGAG